GGCCGTGATCATGGAATCTCATGATCGAGCTGGTCCCCTCCAGTTTTTCCAAAGCCGTCCCTGTACAGACTTGCAGGCTACTGTACTCATATGCCTTCGACACTCAGTTTTCAGCCTAGAACAGTTGGTTCGGGCAATGCATGACTGAAACACAAGTCAGACTTTCTGTGAATAGTCGCAATTCACACAGTCGAAAGAAGCAGGACATGCTTGTTCGTTTGAGTTATGCAGGTCGGGAAGTGGGTAGTAGCGAGCACATAAAAATTCGCCAAACGAATTCTTCAGAGCGGATGTCAGCATCGGCAATCGCAGCCTACTGCTTCGACTCACCGCTCGGTTCAAGCCACGCAGGAGTGAGTTAGCATCTGCACTTTGCGAAGCCACCAGTCAGCAATCAGCATGGCCTTCGGCAAGGCAGTGGCGGCAGTTGCGGGTGCTGCAGTGTTCCAGGCCTTCACGGGTTTGTCCTTCCTGACGGCCTCGCGCGCAGCGTGGGGCTGGCAGCTGACGGTGCCGGGCAACGCTGACTTCAGCTGCGCCGAGGGCAGCACCATCGGCTGCGCTTCGTTCACTGGATGTGAGGCATCCAACTTCACCTGCACAGTGGTGCCTGCCGAGGGCAAGTCCTGTGATGTGTCCAGCATCAGCGTGCAGTGCACGGACTTGGCGGACAACACCAGCATGCCTTTCCAGCCCAACCTAGGACAGTGCATCAACGTGCAGGCCTACGCGGATTCGAACAACAAGACGATGGACGAGGTCGCGTGGTCGCAGACGCCGATGTGCATGGACACCACCACCACCACAGGCTCTACCTCGTCTGCCACCGGCATGCAGGTGCTGGGCTCCGTGACAGCCGTCGTGGCTGCATTGTCCGCGTGAGGCCACAGCCTGGGCGTGGCAGTTTTCGGATGGCCGTGATCATGGAATCTCATGATCGAGCTGGTCCCCTCCAGTTTTTCCAAAGCCGTCCCTGTACAGACTTGCAGGCTACTGTACTCATATGCCTTCGACACTCAGTTTTCAGCCTAGAACAGTTGGTTCGGGCAATGCATGACTGAAACACAAGTCAGACTTTCTGTGAATAGTCGCAATTCACACAGTCGAAAGAAGCAGGACATGCTTGTTCGTTTGAGTTATGCAGGTCGGGAAGTGGGTAGTAGCGAGCACATAAAAATTCGCCAAACGAATTCTTCAGAGTGGATGTCGGCATCGGCATTCGCAGCCTACTGCTTCGACTCACCGCTCGGTTCAAGCCACGCAGGAGTGAGTTAGCATCTGCACTTTGCGAAGCCGCCAGTCAGCAATCAGCATGGCCTTCGGCAAGGCAGTGGCGGCAGTTGCGGGTGCTGCAGTGTTCCAGGCCTTCACGGGTTTGTCCTTCCTGACGGCCTCGCGCGCAGCGTGGGGCTGGCAGCTGACGGTGCCGGGCAACGCTGACTTCAGCTGTGCCGAGGGCAGCACCATCGGCTGCGCTTCGTTCAATGGATGTGAGGCATCCAACTTCACCTGCACAGTGGTGCCTGCCGAGGGCAAGTCCTGTGATGTGTCCAGCATCAGCGTGCAGTGCACGGACTTGGCGGACAACACCAGCATGCCTTTCCAGCCCAACCTAGGACAGTGCATCAACGTGCAGGCCTACGCGGATTCGAACAACAAGACGATGGACGAGGTCGCTTGGTCGCAGGTGCCGATGTGCATGAACGCCACCACCACCACAGGTGGCTCTTCCTCTACCTCGTCTGCCGCTGGCCTGCAAGTGCTGGGCTCCGTGACAGCCGTCGTGGCTGCATTGTCCGCGTGAGGCCACGGCCTGGGCGTGGCAGTTTTCGGATGGCCGTGATCATGGAATCTCATGATCGAGCTGGTCCCCTCCAGTTTTTCCAAAGCCGTCCCTGTACATCCCGAATTCTTTGCCTCTTTTGATGTCTCAGCATCGAGTTCTGCAGACACTGCTGAACCCCAAATAATTTCCCTAAACCCCAAACCCTAGACCCCAAAACTGTCATGTCAGCATCTTCCGCGGGCCACTTGAGGACTGTTGCTCATTGAACGGTCCCGTGCCCAGCTCGCTCACAAGCACGAGCAAGACCCAGGCGTTAGCGCACAAAGCTGTCGCTTGGAGGGTTTAGGGTTTGGGGTTTGGGGCTTGGGGCTTGGGGTTTGGGGTTTGGGGTTTAGGTTTTGGGGTTTAGGGTTTACGGTTTAGGTAACTATGGTTTTGACCTTATTTGGGGTACTTCCACCACAAAGGCTTGGGGTAGGTAACTGTTATACTTTGACTCCCTTGTAAAGAGGGTTCCCAAAAGATAGCCTAGTCTGGACCAGCCTCCATGTACGGGGTTGTAGCAGTGTTGACCTCCTCACTACGTTGATCAGCCACCCTAAACCCTAAACCCTAATCCCTAAACCCTAAACGCTAAACCCTAAACCCTAAACGCTAAACCCTAAACCCTAAACCCCTAAACCCCTAAACCCCTAAACCCCTAAACCCCTAAACCCCTAAACCCCTAAACCCCTAAACCCCTAAACCCCTAAACACCTAAACCCCTAAACCCCTAAACCCCTAAACCCCTAAACCCCTAAACCCCTAAACCCCTAAACCCCTAAACCCCTAAACCCCTAAACCCCTAAACCCTAATGGAAGCCTGGTTGGTGCAGGTGGAGGTTCAGGGTGACGACAAGGTTGCCAAGACGCTCGTCTTCGCCAACTCCAAGCCGGGGCCTCACGAAGTCTACCTATAATGGGGTTTAGGGTTTAGGGTTTAGGGTTTAGGGTCTAGGGTCTAGGGTTTAGGGTTTACCCTCAGTTATGATGCCTTGCTTGGGCTTACCCGACTTCAAGGCAGCTCTTCAAAATTGCTGGCTGCTTACCGCTGCAGTGATTCAGGGACTAAAGGAGGGATCCCTTATGACAGATCTTCGGTTATTTGGGGGGTTTTTTGGGGGGCCACTTCAGCATATAGGGGCTGTATTATATATGGTAAACATAGGGGTTATATAGGGGAATAAGATTAAGGGTCCCCTCTGGGTCCCTCCGTGTACCCCCTAAAGTGACCCTGTAGGCCGAAGAAGTACAGACATTGTAAAGGAGCTAATAGTGGGAGTCTAGGGAGTACCACCCTGCTGCCCATATGCAGAAGTTCTGAACACAGCAATCCGCACGATGCTGTGCGACATAATACTGCTCCTGACGGTTTACAACTAAGTATACAATCTTCCCTGCTTACAACCCACAAACCCAAAAAAAAACCAAACCCTACATCCCAGCCCCCTAAACCACGAAGGACCACCGTCGACGCAGTCTGTTGGAGACTTTCCGATTCGCGGGTGCGGAGCATGCAGATCCACGGCGGCCTGTCGCAGGCTAAGACACCGCCCTACTTGGAAGTTCATGGGTACTTAGGGTTCAGAGTCTAGGGTTTAGGGGGTTTAGGGTTTGAGTACAGTTTATGGTACTTGTAAGTAGGTTGATAAGAAGGGTAACTATGGTTGTAAGCCGAAGTAGGATATCTACAGCCCTACTTATACGTACGCATGGACCTTGAAGCAGACAGGTGGGGTTTGCATGTCCAAAAACCGATGGGGGTTTAAGATAGGGCGTTAGGGCATGGTAGCTTTCTAAGGGCAGTTACATGGCCCTTAACAAATGGTCCCTTACTTTCTTCACAGGGTTCTGAAGTATGGGCCCTTGAGTTTCATATAGGGTATATAAGGGGTACAGAAGGGGTTCCCTTTCACAGGCCGACCATGTAACTACCATCAAAACCCTATAAACCCCTTATAACCCCCTATAAACCCCTAGAAAACCCCTAAAGCCCCCCTATAAACCCCCTAGAAATGTCACTACAGCCTAAGAACCTTTCGACTCTGGGGGCTCAAGCCCTGATCCTCCTAAGCATGGAGGGTTTAAGTTTTGGGGTTTAGGGTTTAGGGTTTAGGGTTTAGGGCTTAGGGTTTAGGGTTTAGGGTTTAGGGTTTAGGGTTTAGGGCTTAGGGTTTAGGGTTTAGGGTTTGGGGCTTAGGGTTTAGGGTTTAGGGTTTATGGAGGCCGCGCGTGATCGTGCGCTGGCGGACTTCCGAAACGGCCGCGTCAATGTTGGCATCTTGGGACTCACACTCTGCTTCGGGTTCGGGTTTAGGGTTTAGGGTTTAGGGTTTAGGGTTTAGGGTTTAGGGTTTAGGGTTTAGGGTTTAGGGTTTAGGGTTTAGGGGTTAGGGGTTAGGGGTTAGGGGTTAGGGGTTAGGGGTTAGGGGTTAGGGTTTAGGGTGTAGGGTTCAGGGTTTAGGGTTTAGGGTGTAGGGTTCAGGGTTTAGGGTTCAGGGTTTAGGGGTTAGGGGTTAGGGTTTAGGGTTTAGTGTTTAGGGTTTAGGGGTTAGGGTTCGAATAAGGGACCCCTAATGTAGACGCTGCCAAAAGTCTGATCCCCCTGTGCTGTATAGTAAGGACCCCAATAAGGTAGCCTAATATCGCAAACCCCCTTCTCTACCGGTTCAGAGTTTGGCAACAGCCTGTCTTGTCTCGAGAGAGACAATTCCGAAGATGAGTCTCCAGTTTTCCTCCTTAGGTCCTCGTTGCGACTGACGTCGCCGCGCGGGGTCTCGACCTCCCAGGTGCGCACAGATGGCAAACTCGTACAGTGTGGTCGCATTTTTGCTACAGTAAAAACGCTGTATAAGAAACCCGTTTTCCGGCGATAGGGTACCCTAAGTTTCTTAGTTTCCATTACCCATGTACCCGGGGGGTTTGAGCCTAGGGTAGGCTTGGTTTCTAAACTAATTTCTTTAGGGAATACGTTATACCACTAGACCAAACCCATGTTCCAGGAATGGCGGCGGGAAGGGTTCCCGAATGTGACTCCCGCGCGTTTTGGGGTAGGGTCAGGCCAGAGGCGCGGGGGAGTCACGTTTTAGAGCTTTTCAGGGCTGAAAACCTCTAGAATGCGACTCCCGCGCCTTTTGGGGTATAGGGTCAGGCCAGAGGCACGGGGGAGTCACGTTTTGGAGCTTTTCAGGGCTGAAAACCTCTAGAATGTGACTCCCGCGCGTTTTGGGGTAGGGTCAGGCCAGAGGCGCGGGGGAGTCACGTTTTAGAGCCTTTCAGGGCTGAAAACCTCTAGAATGTGACTCCCGCGCGTTTTTGGGGTAGGGTCAGGCCAGAGGCCCGGGGGAGTCACGTTTTAGAGCTTTTCAGGGGCTGAAAACCTCTAGAATGTGACTCCCGCGCGTTTTGGGTAGGGTCAGGCCGCAGGCGCGGGGGAGTCACGTTTTAGAGCTTTTCAGGGTGAAAACCTCTAGAATGTGACTCCCGCGCGTTTTTGGGGTAGACCCGGGGGGTGTTGCGGGCAGGGTTTTTTTAGAAACTGACAGCAAAGCACTAGGGTACCCTAAGTTTCTTAGCTAGAAGGCAACCGCAAATCGACCAATACTCCCGGGTCTAGGGGCTCAGTTTCTTAAACAGTGGTTTCTTATACAGTGGTTTTACTGTACCTATGCACGCTTTATCTTAGGAGTGGGACCACTGTGCCAGCAGCCGTGCATTCAGGTGTTGACCACGTAGTGAATTACGAGCTGCCTATGAACGCAGAGGACGAGCTTGCATGAACAGCGAGCATTTGCTTCTTTCTTGGCGGCATCATGTCAGCAGGATCTTTGCCACGGTTTAGGGTTTAGGGTTTAGGGTTTAGGGTTTAGGGTTTAGGGTTTAGGGTTTAGGGTTTAGGGTTTAGGGTTTAGGGTTTAGGGTTTAGGGTTTAGGGTTTAGGGTTTAGGGTTTAGGGAGCAGCCCCTCTGACCTTTGAGGACTACACACATCGGATCGGGCGAACTGGTCGGATCGGGACAGCTGGGGTCTACCAACACCAATGAGAACTCTACTTGTATCCCGCATATCAGCCCCTTAAGTGCCCTAACATGGTAGAAAGTACAGTTATAAGTACAGTTGCAAGAACAGTAAAGTACAGTTATAAGCCCCTTAAGTGCCCTAATATGGTAGAAAGTACAGTTATAAGTACAGTTATGATTGGTGAAGAAGTACCATGAACCTCCAAGTGGGGTCTACCAGCAGCCTCGTCACTTGAGAGCCTTCAGCCGATCTGCTTCTTGATGATCTGCGGGCAATGTCTTGAGACAGTTCAAAGGCCCTAAGCCCTCAGCCCTAGGCCTGGAAGCCCCAAGCCCTCAGCCCTAAGTCCGAGGCCCTAAGCACTGAGCCCCTACTAAGCCCTAAAAGCCCTAAAAGCCCTAAAAGCCCTAAAAGCCCTAAAAGCCCCAAAAGCCCTAACAGCCCTAACAGCCCTAAAAGCCCTAAAAGCCCTAAAAGCCCTAAAAGCCCTAAAAGCCCTAAAAGCCCTAAAAGCCCTAAAGCCCCAAGCCCTACTAAACCCTCTTCAACCAACCCTAGCGCCCTCTCATGGCGCAAGGAATACTGGGATCTCCACCTCCTTGGTGGGCACCTGGTACCGGCCTGATCCTTCTCAGGGAGTCCCCCCTACCCCCCTTTCATGAGGGAGCGTTCCTGGCACTCCTGAGGCTTTCTGCATTTCTAGGTTTTTTTGTTTTAAGCTATAGGGTTCAGGGCAGGTACTACATGTCCTCATGATGAGATGCCCACGCAAGCTTCCTAGCACCCTTCCATTCGGAGCGGAAAGGCTGCCCAACGAACTCAAGATGCTTTTATATCGGTCCGGTGCTGGCAAGCCACCCCGGCAAAACATGAACCAACAAAAGAACATGAATTAGAATGCTCCCGCTTGCACCTAGAATCTTGAATGCTGCGAAAGACATGGAAGTACTCGTGCAAGC